AGGAAAATACCCGGAAAAAAAAATCTGAATCAAAATTCGAAACTCGGCCGCCTTTCGTCCTGCAAAACTCGAGAGCCCACTCGGACAGCCTGCGTGCAGGGAGAAAAACTCAGCGCATGGACAAGGATTGGGGGGGGGAAATTGCATTGTTCGACATCAGGCTCCCAGAACAGTCCCAAGAAAGCCATTTCCCCAAGCTTTGGCAGGGGCCCCGTGAGTTTTCGGCCCGGCTCTGTGTAAAGGTGGATGTCTCTGCTGCCCTTGAAGGGAGGGCACTATCCTCCTCCAGGGAATGGCACCTATCCCACCGGAGCACCGATCTCACGATTCCTTCCAAACGGAGCCACCGTTTTTACTGGTTTCAGGATCAGTCCCTTCCTCCTTGTCGGCCGGGAGTGATAAGTGACTGGACCAAGTCCGAAGGCGGAGTCGCCGCCTCCCCACACCATGGCGCTCGAGGCTTCTTGACCCACTTAAGAGTTTAAAACAAGGGATCTTTTCGACTTCCTTTTGCCCCCCCCGTGACTATCATCGCCCTGGGAGGGGCCCCCTCCGTTCCGCTGACTCAGCGTGAGCCGGGCTGAGTCACCCAGGAAAAGGATTCTGTTTGCCCCGGGGTGGAGCTTGGGCGAAAACTGTGTTGCAACGTTTTGAATTTCTCAAGAAGTCCGTCTAGCTAAGCTGCACGGCAGGAGTGCAGCGATTCCAATTCCCCAGATGAGCTTCAAATTCTTCAGATTAATTCCATCCCTTTTTTCTCCCCCTCCCTTCATCCACTGGCACTTACAGGCTCCATAACCCCCCGGGAAGCAGCAGGAGGAGAAAGAACGACAGGTTCCTTACTTATCGTTGAACAGCTCAAACAGCAAACGGACCAACGTGACTGCTTTCAGCGACAGATTCTAGAGAGGGAAAAAACTCTCAGCAGAGAGGCGGGTCTCTCTTTGAAATTAGAGGCAGGGAAGGAATGATTGGTTATTGCTGGACAGATTGACAGCCGCCCCAGACTGAGATTGCATTTGGAAAAAACACAACTGTATTCTTAACATAACAGAACTCGAAAGCCTTCTTTGCAAAAAATAATAATAATAATAATGGGTGAGACACTCGACTAACAATATCCTTCTAATCATATTCCCAGGTTATAAAGACAAGGCCCGACTTGTCTGTTGTTTTTTTTTAAAAACTGGTGTGTCAGCCCCTTTGAGAACTTTTCCACAGGGTAGATGATGTCATGAGGATGATTGCCACAGCCATCACCAATCGATATAAAAATAGGGAAGATGACATCTTCTGTAGCACGAGTTTCCATTTATTGGGAAGACGGTGCAGGCTTTTGGCTCACACAGCATTCTTTAAAGTGGAAGCTGAGTGTTTTCACGAAATTAGCCTGGAGTGGCAGATCACAAGCAATGACGATTTTTAAAAGATTAATTCCAGTTTCCAACACGCAATATATCCTCTGAACTTTTCAGGGGAACTGTCTAAATGCCACCAACCTGATAAAAAGTATTCACGTTCCTGTTAAAAGAGAGAATAGGCTAAAAGCACCTCATTAAAAATGTTTAGGCTCTACTTTTGGTGACCCTCATGAGGCAGGGAGTTCCATCCACCGCCAGAGGCCAAGTTAAATGGAAATAACACCCCACCCACTTTTCTGGCATTCATGGCAACAGAAGATGCGATCATGAGATTCCAGGGAGCATACTGAAGTCCGCTTAGAGACCACACACACACACAAACACACAATTAAATTCCTCTAGTTGTGCAGCAGAATTGCAAGGAGGGATTCGCAGAGCGGAATAGCTTAGAGTTCCCCAAAGTATTTCCCCCTCCTTTCCCCCTTTCATCAACTGGCCCTTATAGTCTCAAGAACTCGATCAGAGATGTTTGTAAGTGGAACGATAAAAGGTTTCATTACTTACAATTTAACAGACCAACAGCAAACGGACAAACATGAGCGCTGTCAACAACTGACCTCAACAGACTCCCTGCTTCCAATACATAAAAGAGACTTTCCGCAAGTTTATTTAAAAAAAAACTATATATTTTAATTTGTGCAAAAATAGCAGATATTAATAATAAACGAACACTTTTTTGAGGCTTTAATGTAAAATTGGACAGCCTTTAACATGTCTCAGGATTTTTTGCTGTGCCTTTATGGCCCCTTTGGAAATGTTTGCAATATCTGGCTTTCTAAAATCAAAGTAGTGGCATCCGAATACTTCAGTAAAAGCTGTCGTGCTAAAGCTGCAGTATTAATTCCCACATCCACGCATGCCGCACCTAGCCATCTCACGACGGGCAACATGCTTTTCTGATCTACCTTTTGAAATTTAAAGCGTGAAAAGCAGATGCAAAATAGTTTGGACAGAAGACACCGCTGGAAAAAATAATATGTGGAAAAAAATATGCATGTTTCAGTGCTGGGTTTGCAGCAACGGGACAGAACGGTCGGCTGGCATTTGAAAAATGCCAATAAAACGGGTATACTTTAAAATAAATGCAGAAAGAATGGCTTTCAAAAAACAGTCCAAACGGAGTTCATAACTGGTAGAAAAAGGAAGTGGAGAAAGGAAGCATTTTCAGAGCTGACGTTTGCCTCCCTAAATATAGTGCTCAAAATAAAAAGGACCCTAGTGCGAATTCAGGAACCGGTTGCAAAACAGGATGGCCGTAACAGGATCTGTCGGTTGTACACCAGCTGAAATCCCCCCCTCAAATAGTTTGTGGCCGAAGATTCGGGGCAGGCACCGCGGAGTAGAGTCCTGGGCTCCCCGAGGCTGTTTGGATGGCCCCCGTGTTCTTCCTCGGCCCCCCTTGTTTTCCTTCCACCCCTCAAAAAAAATTGCAGGTCCAGGAAACCTCTAGGAGGGGTGATTTCCTTTGCAAATAGATCAGCGGCCTTCTCGTTCTGTTTAACACCTAAAAATTTGGTAATCGTCTTTCCACCCCCCCCCCAAAAAAGCAGAACTGGACTTCTAGCTATTTCTGGTTTCATGGTTTCCCCATCATCACCGCGGCCACGTGTTGTGAATTTTCCTGTGGCCCCGGAAAACAGGCCGCCTTTTCCCGGAGGCCGATCCCTGCAGAAATCTTGGATTTCGGATTTATTATTATTATTATTATTTGCAAAAATAATTCGTTATTTGGTGGCATCTTATTTTAGGACCCATTCTGACCCTCCGGGGAGCCTCAGGGTGGCGGGCGTCCTGTCATGTCGCGGCTAAATTTGGGGTGGCAAGTTTCCATCAGCCGCAGCAGCATCCTCCACCCGGGGATGATGCTGGAATCTGTGACCGGATCGGTTTACAGGGTGTTTTATTTATACCACGATGAGGAAGAAGGCAGGCATGCGAAGGGGGTGGGGGAAAGGGGGTGGAGGAGGCGGATTTGGGGTGGGGGGGCCCAGCCAGGATGGCGGAGGAGGTCAAGGCAGGAAGACAGCGCGGGGTAGTGGTTAGAGCATTTCAGGATGGGAAGACTCGATTCCGGTTCCTGGCCTGATCGTTCTTCTCCCCCCCTCAGCCTCGCTCACCTCCCTCGCAGGACGGTTGTGAAGACTTTTTAAAATAAAATCAATAAATGCTGGCTGGTGAGAACCCGGGGGGAAAAAAAAACAGATCTGGCCTATGGGTACCCACCCCGGGCAAGAATAAAATCATAAACAAAGAATAAGGATGGATTAAGAAGGCATCGTCTTTATTTGTTTTTTTCCCCCCCCAAAGTCTGGAATTTTGAGCTCAGGTTTCCGAGTTCTTGTATTTCCGGCCGTTTTCCACAGGAAAATATGGATTATTTATGGGGGTTCATATAAGACACCTTTGCCAGGTTTCGAAAGGTCAGCTTGTCATAGGATGTTGGTTATAAACAAAGGCAGGGGGAGGGAATGCAGGACGAGAAGAGAGGATGATGTTCTTTTTTTTTTGGACTACAGTTCCCAGCATCCCCCGGCCAGCAGAGCCGTCCAAAAATAAACTTTCCTCCAACCTCTGGATTCTTTGCTCCCTCTCCCCCCCCAAAAAAAGAAATCTCACACGCCTGAGGACTTAGGACGAAGTCCGGGAAGTCCTGAGGGGACGATAGATCTTATTTATTGATCATTTTAATTTTATGATTTTATATATTTTTATACAGTTCTGTTTTATTTTGTAAGCCGCCCTGAGCAGACATGGTCTAGAGGGGCGGGGTAAAAATCAAATAAATAAATAAAATAAATAAATATCCCCTTGAAAAAGGAGCCCAAAAGCCTTGTTGGCATTTTCTTGTTTGTTCTTCCTAACGACCCTGCGAGGTAGGCCAGCCTCAGAGGTTCCCCCCCCCGGAATAAATATACAATATATATATATATACTGTATTTAATCCTGAGGAGGTGACTCAAGGATGAAGGAGATGGAGGCGGGGCGGGGGGGGGGGGAGGGGGTCAAGGGCTTCCTAGGGGCGAGAGGCATTCTGTACATGCTCAGAAGCCCGGCTCTGAGAGAAAGCCCTGTCCTGAGGAGGGAAAAAAAGCCATTTCTGGATGAGGGGAGCCTCCTGGGGAGGGAAAGGAAGCCCCCCCCTTGAACCCTTCCTTCTCAGATAATTTTTTTTTGTTTTAAAAAGTAACTTTTCCACTGGGAGAGAAACTTCTGCCTCCTTTCTTTCTCTCCCCCCCAATTCCCTCCCGTGCCTTTTCCAAGCCGCGGCGCTCT